TTGGACTTCACTCAGGTTTCAGTTTGTAGATTACAACAAAATACTGAGTCCAATGAATCGGCACAAGTTCCTAAAGTGTTATTTTGTGTTATTGAAGAATGAAGGATGCACTATAAAGCTGCACTCTTATTAACCTGAGGGGCTTCTTTCTGTTTATGCAACACCCTTACCTTCTATCTTCCGTTTTTCCACAATCACATTATTTTACAATGCATTGTTTTAAATTAATGAAGTAGGGTGAAGAGGTATATTTAGTAGTTTAATTGTACCTTCAAGATAAATATTAATTTCTGTTGAAAAGTATGTTATATTTCTATTAAAATTTCTTGATTTAGCATTAAGTTTCTGGGCTATGTGTTTACTTCTAGAGTATTTTCTCTTTTTCCATGAAATTGTAATATGAATATCAAACTTCTATGTCAAAATAAACCTTCTGGTTTAGCGAAGTGCCATTATTATTGGCTTATGAATAATATGCCATAATATTATTTGTAAGTTAATGATGGGAATATAAAAACCACTTATATCATGAGTTAGTTAGATCCACACCACCCTGAAAAAAAACTAAAAGACTTTTATTAAATTTAATTAAAGCTTTAAAAGAATGTTTATGTAGTTAGTTGAAAAGTGAAATACAGTATCCTAATTTACATTTAAAAAATCTTGCATTTCAATCAGTGGCGTAGCAAGGTTGGGGGCGCCCTGGAGCAGAAATTGCCTAACTGCCCCCTCTCCCAAACACCAAACATTACAGTAGGCCTACAGATATACTAGGTGTGCAATGCAGTTGTCTGCTTGCAATATTGAGCGGAGCAAGCATATTAATAAAAACTTTTTTAAGTCAATGCTACGTCTGTTATACACAATAATTGGGATGTCTACTTACTGTATCCAAAGTCAATGCTAAATCTAGTTCACGTAAATGAGACGACTCCTGGCCGAAACCTTATTCAATGGTACATTTGGAATGTCTACTTGCAGAACCCAAAGGTAATGCTTCATTTGTTCATACGTAAAGGGGATGTATACTTACAGTATCCAAATTCAATGGTCATTTTGGTTCACGTAAATAAGATGTCTCTTTGCAGTATCCAGTGTCAATGGTGCATTTATATCACGTAAACGGGATGTCTAGTCCACTTGCAGTATCCAAAGTCAATGGTACAATTGGTTTACGTAAATGAGATGTCTACTCTCAGTATCTAAAGTCAATGGTCTTTCGGTTCTCATAAATTAAATGTCTACTTGAATTATCTAATGCCAATGGCACATTTGGTTCAAGTAAATGGAATGTCTACTTGCAGTATTCAAAGTCAATGGTACATTTGGTTCACATAAAAGAGATTTCTCCTCACCGAATCCTAATTCAATGGTACGTATGGTTCACATAAATATTGCAATGTCTACTAGCAGGACCCAAAGGTGCTACATCTGTTATATGTAAAGGGTATGTCTTCTTACAGTATCCAAAGTCAATGGTTCATCCAGTTCTCATAAATTAAATGTCTACTTGAAGTATCTAATGTCAATGGCACATTTGGTTCACGTAAATGAGATGTAGAATATGGTTTACTTTACTTTGCCTAAAATGATCCTGTTTTAGTCGTCAAACACGACAGCTGTTTCGTGCTACAATGAGCACATCTTCAAAGTGAAGAAACCAAGAAGAAATTCTTCACTTTGAAGATGTGCTCATTGTAGCACGAAACAGCTGTCGTGTTTGACGACTAAAACAGGATCATTTTAGGCAAGGTAAAGTAAACCATATTCTGCTAATTTTAATGATCCAGAGGCTATCCATCATGTAAATGAGATGTCTACTTGCAGTATCAAAGTCAACAGTTCATCTGGTTTACATAAATTAAATGTCTACTTGCAGTATCCAAAGTCAATGTCCAGGGCCGGATTTCCCAATAGGCCCGGTAGGCCCGGGCCTATGGGCGCGAGCGCCCAGAGGGCGCAAGGCCGAGAGGAATTTTTTTTTAATATCTAAAAATACCCCCGCCGCAGCAAACCTGCAGACTAAGCGAATTTCCATTAACCTGATTGGATTTACACTAAAATGCCTTCATGAAAATAGCACATTTATTTCCTATTTAAATAAAATTAGTTTAACGAGTACTTAGGTTTGCTGCAACAGGGAGGGTAAAAAAGATTTTTTGTATAAAATGATAATAGTTTAGTAAGAAATAAAAGTATTTTCCAAAATCAATCAAAATATTTTCATAAACAAGCAAACTACAACAGTTGACTTATTCTCCATAAGAATAACATGGGAATTTTAAAATTAAAATTTTTTTGAATTTTCTCCGTAACAATTAAGCGCATAATAACGCTTCAATGTACTAAATTATTTGTTTTTTTAAGCTCTACAAAATGGTTTAAAAAGAAATTGTGAAATTTTTTGTTTTTAGGGTCAAAAATGGGAAAACCCTATTTTTACCCCATAAAACCCCCCATAAACCCCCGTTCCCATAGTCCGATCATGCTGGTTCGCGAACTCGTTCAAGTCTATCCCGCCTTACACCTTCAAACCAAATTTTATCAAAATCGGACAAAAATTACTCAAGTTATGGACACATATATATATATATATATCTCTATATATAGATATATAAAAATTTGAACGAATGGTGTTTTTGGCCTCTGGGGACATCAAAATGAAAAAGTAAATCGGTCCCGGGCTTAGGTCTTACCATGAGACCTACGGTAATAGCTACTTCCCTATAGGGAAATTCGCTAATAAAAATAAATAGTCAAGTTGTTAAAGAAAAACTCTAGCTAATAAAGCATTCTGATTCTGAAGTTCATAGGAAGAAATAATTGTTAGAAGATTTAAACTATTTTTCAGAATTACGCATCAATTTCGTTACAACATTGGTAACGAACATTGGTAACGAACATTGGTACGGGAGTAGGTTGTAGGGATGTTGACGAGCGCCCGAGCGGTATGCATCGTGTTGCCACTGCACTGCCACTAGCTGGCCTTGCACTACTGATCTGAGTGATTAGGGGTGCATGCGTGCTAGACACTGTTACACCAAACACAAAAAACAAATAACTCACAAAACAAAAGTTATTGACTAATCTTTTGATTAGTTTACAACAATCTGCAAGATCAAGTTAAAATATATAATACGTTGCATTGTATATTTAAAAAAAATATTTATTTATCTTTAAAATTAACGAAAAAATATTAATCTCAGTTTGCAAAAAGATTTCAACAAACTCAATACCCTCCAAAGCACCATTAATCCTGTAATTTTCTCCTCAGACCTAAGGATCGATATGGTTGGCCGGAATATTGCTCTGTTTTGCTTTGGAAATATAACCTAGATGCAGTACTACCATAGATTAAATATAACTCAAGTCGACTTCCTATCACATTGTAAATTCAATTTTTTTTCATGTCTAGTTCACGTTGGTGACACTGGACGTTAGTTTTGACGTTGTTTCTATTATTTTAGGGTTAGTTCTATGATGTGTGTTTTAATTTCTTGTAATATTACCAGGAGTGTCTTAAAAGTGTTTAAGACGGCATTTTGTTAAGGCTAAACGAGTCAATTCTTCAAAAAACTTGCAATGATAAAATTCCGACGAGGAGTGGTAAGTTATTCAAGCAATTAACTTAGGCCTATGGGTATGTTATCTGTGACCAGACTAGGGGGCGGAAAATTATTTGGGCCTAGGGGCGCCAAAATGCTAAATCCGACCCTGTCAATGTCTCTGTTTCTTGTAAATGGGATATCTATACTTCCAGTATCTAAAGTCGATAATTGCTGTATCCAAAGTTAATGATATATTTGGTTTACATAATTTGGAATCCCTCTTGCAGTATTCAAAGTAAATTGTTCATCTGGTTCGCGTAAATGAAAAATGTCTCCTTGTAATATCAAAAGATAATGGTTCATAATCCTTATTGGTTATACATTTTGTAGCAAATAATGCTCAACGTTATCAATCTGATTGTTCTTCCCTTTTGTTCTCTACTTTGCAATGTGCTAGTTAAAATGATTTATTAATAAACATATGTTACAACTCTTGTTAACATTTTTATTGTTATCTTGCAAATGCTGTCATGGCAACCAATTAACCCATAAGGCCCATGTTAAATTTCTAAAAGTTAAATTCACATAGGGAAAAGCCCTGTGGGCCGATTTGTACCATTTCAGATTTATACCTTCCCATGGTTGGTTACTATGACTGTGCTAAATTTTGTGCAGATCGTTTCAACCGTTCAGGAGGAGTATTTGTAAAACAAAAGCAGGAGTGTTGTATAAGAGCTTCGCTTCGATCTGCTCGATAATATATTGTTGCAGGCTTATGGGATCTAGATAATAAAACGATGGCGATTTCACAATAACTATTTATTAACACTAATATTCTTTAAATACAGTAATTATAAGCAATCACCTAACTAACCTAGCTAAGCCTATCTAGTTTCTAAATTACAGTGGAACCTTGATAAGAAGACCCTCGATAGCAAAGTCACCCTTGATAACAAGTGTAATTTAAAACCCCTTAAAATTATTTTACCCCTAATCTCATGTTATTAAAAACTTCGATAAGAAGTCAACCTTGATAACAAGTCTTATTTTACAATCCCCATGAGAGTCTTGTTATCAAGGTTCTACTGTGCAATATTTCTACTTACATTAATTAATTGCAGCTAAGTTACAGGGTTTATCACTTAAAACAACAACGCTTTGCTCTACTCTGTTACTAACTGTCACTGTCACTGTTACTAACTGTCACTGACACACGTAGATATATAATCTGACTGACACTGGTCTGTCTCTGTCACTTACACTGACTACCGAGCGTCGCATATAATATAGCAGGGGCTGCAGACTCTACTCACCAACCGCTGAAACTTTTTAAAATTTTAATTAATTTTTTTTTAAACCAAAAGCAGTTTTCTTTATTAAATGGAAATTTAACAGAAAAATTGCTTGGTCTTAATTTTTATTAGTGGTAATTTTTACCCTTCTCTGTTTCAGTCCTTTCAAGGGAGTCAAGGGAGAGCTTATCTCTTCAATAGTGTGTAAGTAAATCACATGTTTATCTTATAATTCTATATGTACAGAATATTACAGGATGTATGTACAGGTGCTTCGTCATAAATAAAATTGTCCTTATACAAGTCGCTTCTTTCATTCTAGGTTATACATACATTTAAAAATTGTTAACTATGTAAAAATATAGACTATGTTTATAAATACTAAGTAATAAAATTCAACAGTTTAATATACTAAAAGAAAAATTGAACAGCAATTGTAACAGAGGATAAAACTAGGCTTACAACTATTTAACATGGTCTTAATTAACATTTGAGTATCCAGGTTTTAAAGCTGATTTTTTCCCAGCCAGTGCTATAGTAAGTAGGGACCCAAGACTATCTTATCATATTTCAAAATCATTCAAAAAGTTGTCAACTTTGTAATAGGCCTTTCTAATCAACAAGCTTTCAACCTTCTCTGAAAATTGTGTTGGGTTGAGGGTATATTGACTATATTGACCAGACTCATAAATTTTACAAGTCCTATAAATCATTTTATAGTAAATTGAATAGAATAACTTATTGTTGCATCATTTTATTTGAAGGGTAAAGCTCTTCTGATTTGATATATTGAATGTAAATTTAAAAATATTATATTGATGATCCTAATTATGGTTGTTAATGTTGCAGAGTCAACGTAGGTTGCGGACCTGCAGAAGAGAGAGTGTTGCTCACAGGTCTACATGCAGTCGCTGACATCTACTGCGAATGCTGTAAGACTACTCTCGGCTGGAAATATGTAAGTATGCTGCTCTCATCAGTAACATGTAACATACAGGTTGCTGAAAAACAGATTAAGCGGTCCGACTCACATAGTACTCTGGCTGTAGAGGGTGAAGCCGTACACTATGGTCTTGTTTTCATCAGCCTCTCATACCGTTTCAGGCGTCATCATGATTTAAACTGGATAACATCAAGGTTATGGTGTGTGTGCATTTTGTTAAACAAAATGTTAGAGATTTGTAACACAAAAAGCTTTTTGTTGGAAGTTTTGTATTCCTTGCAACAATGCTGTTCCTAATGCAAACACAATCAATACAACTGTGGGTGAAAAAGAGGGTCCGTACGAGTAATGTTATTACATTAGGATTGTTTTGTAGAATATTGACAAGAATTTTAAAATTGTCGTTCCGTTTTAATCCATTTAAAATTATGATGGCCCAAGAATCAAAAGAATGAAATTATGACAAATCCATAATCTTTTGCCACCAAATGTTTTGGGAGTAATATGTGCAAGCGTTTGACAAACATCTTGGTAACTGCTCAATTTCTGCTCTGAACAACTCAACACTTTCCGCTGTTGTTAAAAAGTTTTATCGCTTAATTCCAACTTTCTAACCAAATATTTTTTGTTTGGACTAGGAACAGGGTCTTTGCGTGGAACAAATACCCCCAGCACAAAGCTCTTTAGGTTGCAATCACCGACATGTTACTTTTTTAAATAGTCTCACACAGCATAACCTCAACGCTGTCCAGTCCAAATTGTGATGCCGACTGAAACATTGTGAGTGGCTGATGGAAACAAGACCAATAGTGTCCGCATTCACCCTCTATAGGCCTAGCTGGAGTACTGTGAGAGTCAAACTGCTTCGTCTTTTTTTCTCATAGTGTAAATAAAGAGCCTAGATAAAATAACGATCATTGATTCCATCATTGTATCACTACTAGAAATTAGAGGTTTATACATGTGGGAGAGGTTCAGGGGACTTGTTTGCCTGTCTTTATCTCTAAAGCTTTCCAGTTCTATAAAAATGTATAAAACATTTTATACTGATACTTTGTATGTATGTAAATGGCTGAAATCTAATTGAGGGACAGGCCTAGATCTAACACGCCAGACTGTTGAATTTACACATAGGCCTACTGTTAATGTGGTAGATCTGACCAATGAATTTTGCTAACAGGAGACAGCACTGTAGTTGGAGGATTCAAAGTTGGCCTTGGTTAAGTCTTGATTGCAACTCATGAGGAGTTGACCTGTTTGTGGCAGAGCTTAGCGGGGAGGATCCACAATTGGGTGGATTTTCTGATCAGAGATTTTGCTACATTTGACTTGTTCTAACTATGTGTTTATCCACAGAGAACTTGTCTTGTAAATCTGTAATTTGTGTTCATACAATGAAAAAAAACATGTAATGAAGAAGCGCTGGGGTTCAAAGGGTCAAAAGCTTTGAGGTTTTATGTTTACAGTAGGAAACTTAACAGTTTGATGAGGTTAAATATTACCTCGGGTCGGGAAAAAAAGTCGACCTTCGGGACTATGGCCAAATATTGGTTAAATATAAAATTTATTTGGAAAGTAAACAGGGCAAACCCGTAAGCACAAAAATAAACTGAAAATAGCCCTTGGTCACAGAGAAATTGTGAGCGTCTCCTGCAGTTGTGGTGAAATTGTGGACATCTTCTGTTATTGGGGAGACATCTTCAACGTTTCCTGCGGTCCAGAGAAATAGAAAATATCTTTCTTGGATGCGAAGACATTATCTTCATCTTCCGCAATTGTGGCAATATCATGAACAACTCTTGCCGTCGGTGAGAAATTGTGGATATCTTTCCTCGATGAGATCTCATCATCGTCTTCATCGATCATGGCATAATCGTGATTTTCGATTGTGCAATCTTCGCAGATGCTTTCGGCAACCACAATGATAAAAGTTCAACTCAAAATTTAAGTCCCCTATCAGATTGGTAATATTCATTTTTAAATTTAAAAAAATGCCCTTAAGGCTTCCAGGCTGGGGCTTCGGCAACCACCGCTAGAGAGAACAAAAATTTTAAAGAAACTACAGCTAAACTTTTATTCCCGTTAATTATTTTGATTGAACTCATTCATTTTAAATGCTGGTATGAAAAAACAAAACCTGTATAGTATTTTTCGTTACACTACTCTTGTTTTATTGTTCTTCCCAGCTCCCATGCATGGATTTAGTCTGAAAAACATCTTTCTGCCGTGAAATAGGAATTCATTACTTACTAACGTTCAGTAATTTTGCTGGACATTAGCTGATTATAATTTTTTTACCTATTGACAACCTCATATATTTCGTAATTATATATAATCATCAACGTGACAAAATTTACACTAAACTCAAATATTCTAAAGACAAAACAGGGTTGGTACGGTGAGGAAAAACCTGGAAAACTCAGGAAATTACGAAAAAATTCTGGAATTTCTTCTGAAAGACTACCTTTTTACAGAGATGCAACATTTTGCTCTAAACATGTTTTTGTCAGGGTGATGACTAATAGCAAAAATAACGACTTAAGCACTGATGCACATTTTTACATCGATAGTTAGTTTTAGGTACAGGGGAGGAATCGATATGTATATAGTTTGAAACAAGTTTTGTATTTGGAAGTGATTAAACAAGTTAAATATTTACATTTTTTCTAAAATTTCTTGATTTAGATTTGTCAATATCGACTTGCGGTATACCTGGAAAAATAATAACTAGTGTACATGTTGCTCTAAATCAAGCAATTGCAAATAAATAAAGTGGTTACCGTATTTAAAAACAAATAACTTATTTTTAAAAACGAATAAAAGTCATAATTTCCGATGTGTTTAAAACACTCAACTCATAGATACCGTACCTAACAGTTCCATATAATTAACTTTCCTGTAAATATTTTATCATTTTTCAAAAGCTGATCTGGTTGTTTAGTGTATTCTACAAATTAATGTTTCCTACTTATAGCCGCATTAGGTTGTCCATGTTGATGATCTTTGTCAATGATAATGTAATAATCTGCATGGTACTACCCATTGTCGCCAGTACGTTTACAAATTTCAGTAATTTTTTTATAGTGATAACATTTTGTTTACATTACTTAAGAACTGCCTGATTCTCTGCATAGCCTCTCTGTCACAATTTTATTTGCTTCATTTGGCTAGTTACTGTTATAAAAAAAATTATATTTACCTAAAAAAATGCTGAATTGAAAGGCCTAATGTTGTTCTGATGGTTTTTTGTTTCTCTTAAATGTGAATAATGCCAATCCTTCAATGACAGTTTTGTTAAGGTTTCTTGGATGTAGTCATATTCTTTTAAAATCACTTGACTTAAAAATTGTCCAGGATTTCTCGATTTTTTACATTGTAAAATTGAAATACTGTAGTAAATATTTAATTTCAACAAAATTAGTAAATGTACCCAATGCCTTTCATTGAATTGAAAAATAAATAACAGCAATTAAATTATACAGCTGATCAAAATGTAAACAATTACGTTCTTCATAAGGATAACATGGAAACTTTCAAAGCTACTGGGGCAGAGCCCAAGGGACATTTCAAACATGTATGGCCAGTTTGCAAATCTACACGACACGCTCTTTCCAATGAGATAACAATGGATAAAATCGGTTAAGAAATGGCGGAGGAGTTAAACCGACAAAGTTTCATGTAGCGTATTAATTATATAGATATCAGTCTGAAAAACCTGGAAAAGCCAGGGATTTTTTTTTTCTAAATTTAGTACCAACCCTGTAAAATCACAAAAGAATTTGAAATTGAGTAGTCAAGTATTTTAATACAGTGAGTAGTTAATACAAAAACATAACCTCTCAAAGTAGTGAAGCCCTTAAGTCGTTAGGACATAAAATGAATTTTGAACGTTTTCTTATAGGGTCGAGTTATTTTGGGAGAAAAATACTGTGCAAAAGCATTTTCCCGAAACATGTTTGGAAACATCTATTTTCTGAAGTAGTAACGTATACTATTTCAGTTTTCACTTTGTTAGTAAACAAAATTTCTTTCTCTTTTACCTCGCCCGTCCACATAAGCCACAGAGGCCTGTGTGTGGATTGCATCAAGCAAAGCAAGAGGTGAGACGATTATAGTACAAGGGCAACTGTACTGATAAAAAGTAGTGGCAGGTACCAGGATCCAAACTCACTACAACTTGGGTTCGAAAAATGGATTTAAAAAATGGGTTTAAAATGGAATCCATGACCCAGTTTAAGTTTTTTTACCTTGTTTAAAAAAAAAAAAAACACACTGGAAAGGAATACTATGTCTGGTGCAGACTTTCTTGTACCTGCTTGGTTTTTTTTTTTAAATCATAGTCAACTTTTTATGTAATAATGAAGTGATGAAGTTTAACTAAAAATATATATTCAGTCTTGATTCATATTTTTCTCTATCCAAAGATAGGTGGTTGTGTACCCTCTGGAGCAAATAGAAAGCCATAAAACTTTATGTTGCCTGTCCCTATGGGATTTCTGGGATTATAGCCTACTTCCTCAGCCTGTTTTATTGATATGCTTAATTTGATTGCAGGAACATGCATTTGAATCAAGCCAGAAATACAAGGAGGGCAAATATATCATCGAATTGGCCCACATGATAAAAGAGAACGGGTGGGACAACTAGCGGCGCGCAACGCGCTCGTCACCGCGCACCTCACCCGTCTCATGTCCTCCCTCCCCCGTGACTGGTCACACGCGCAAATGCCTGTGTTTCTACTGACTGTTAATGCAGGGTTCTGTGGAAATGTTTAAGCTTTAAATGTCCATATATCGTCGACTCGTGTAATAGTGAGTGCTTAAGTGGGAAGTTGTTGTTTCAATGTGGATTCTGTGTTCAAGAAGGTTTATTTATAATGACGGTAACATTTAGTTTTATTCTAGATTATTTGGTTTAATTTTGTTCCTTGTACATTACGAGTCGACAGGTTGGTCTTTAAATTGAAAGCATGTGAACGGTATTTAATAATTTAGGGGTAGAATGTTAAGACTGTGATAAAATACTGTGTTTCATACATTAGGGCTCCTTTTTGACTTCAATAAAATAAAGGGTACAACATTTTTTTAAATCAAGAAGACATTTTCATTTTTATTATGTTGTGTTTTTGAAATCCTTAACAAATTTTCTGATTCAAAACTTATTTTAATCTTTATCCTTTTTCATACATTTAGTTTCTTGTTGACCATTTAAGATGTTGTCCGCCCCTATACATAATTCCCCAAACATGTGATGGGGAACATCACTACAGGTCATAACACATTCAGCATGGCGTAGTAGGCAAGGCCTACTGTTATAAATCCATGTCTGTTGCTTCAAAGTTGTTTTTGATTTGCTTTAAACACCAGCGCCGCCCTGTCTGTGTTAAATACTTACAACCTGTTATTGTTAATGTACAATGCAAATATGGCTGTTTTATACTTGGAATTTATTTAGTCAAAATAACAGATATTCTTTGTAAAATGATCATTGTTCAAATCAATTTTAGCTCAAGGCAGTGTGCTCACTCGCCCTTAGGTTACTTTCATATTATGTGTTGTTTGCAAAGTGGAATGTATAATTAAGCTCTTTATTGTAGTATTATTACTACTCCAAGGTCGTCATCATGATATGTATATAATACGGATAACTTTTGATTTTATCATAAAGTTAACTTATTTGATTTTTAGCCGTAAAAGATACAATATCTTGATACACTCATCTTTGATTTTACTTTCATGAATATAGATACAAATGCTATAAATCAAAACTGTAGGTTTAGTTTATTTTTTTCATATAACCCTACTTAAATTTAATTTTTAAGTTTATTATATTATATAATTTGATTACATTACTTGCTTCAGGTTTAATCATTTTCATGTTTTGTTTAAGCTGGGTTCTATTATTTTTCGTTTGTAAATTTTCTTATGCACATGTTTTTATAAGTCTAACTTACTCAAGATGTTTGAGTCCTGAGAATCAAACTTCAAAAGTCTGATTGCATGTATCTGAAAACTCTTGTTCGTTCTCCCAAGTTTAACATAATTGTTATCGCATCAAATTATATATAGTTGTTATAATAACCAAGCATTAAGCAAAATTATTTAAAATATTTTAATTTTTTTATATACCGTCATGAGGTTTAACTTGACATGTTTCATTACAATAGTCTTTTATACAAAACCTGTAAAAACTGTTATCAAGCAGATTCAACACACATTTATTTTAAAAAAACTATCAAAGAAACAATCTGTCATAATTTTTATAAGGAATATCACATTGATTTTAGTGTTGTTAAAATAGTAACTATAAAATCTTTTGTGTCTTTGAGAGAGATTCAATGTAAATAAATCTGTCTCAACTAAAATACGTGTGAAACTGATGGTCCCAGACCTTAAGGCTTAAAAGTCGTTGGCCATCAAATGGCATAATTGTACCCCTTACATTTAGTCTCTCTTGTGATATACAGGCAATAATACATAACAAACTCGACTATTTCAGACCTGCACATATAAAGTTTCAAACTTTTAGTGCATTTAACTTTTCTGAAATTGACTTGTTTGCAACACAAATATGAATATTTCCATTTTACATTAAAATTGACAATATCTATTGTATGTACCGTGTTATAAATACTTAATTCGTAATTCGTACATGTAACTAAGTTTCCATTGAGTGTTAAATGTTACTATGTAACTGAGGGACTTTGACCAGTCACGATGTGTGAGGTGTGCCGCTATTGTAAGGACTCTCTTGTGGACTTGTGATACTCTGATCTCAATTCTGGTGTGGCGTAAGCAGCAGTAGTTTTTTTCCGATGTAGTTTTTCCATGTCGGTCACATAATTTTTCATTTATGTAAAAGGCCTAACAGACATTATATCTTTACTCGATTTTAAGTTTCAAAGTTGATAAAACTGTAAGTGTTATCCTTACATTTGTATATTGTATAAATCTCACAACGTTTTGCCAGTTATCAGGAAGCTGCCAGTGGTGATGTTCCCTGGTAGGCATGACCACTGACATTTCTTCCCCTTATTGTACATAGTTAGATCGTTCATCCCTATATATTTTTATATCAAATCAATTTGTGCTGACACATCGCCCCCCAATGTGTGTATTACAAAACTGTACTTATAGTTGAAATTTTTTACCCGATTTAGTTTTTATACTTTCTTCTCGTGTGTTAGTTTGATTCGGCAAATCCATTCTAGTCTGAGTTGTATATAGGTTTAGTTCGCACGTCAAAAGTTATTGGCTTTTGCATTTCTTATGTTTTGATATTTGTAATCTTTGATTTTTTTTTACTATATAAAAACATAAAAAACAAAAAAAATAGTTGTACGAATGTCAGTATTTTTGTAACAAACTAATATAAATGAGCGCAAGGGTCAGCAATTTCAACGAATTTCACTTCCCATCTGTGAGGAGCCAGAGTATGTGTAAGATGGTGCCTGAAATGTTATATCGGAGGACCAAATCTGTGTGGTTGCCAGTTGTTTTCACTATTACTAGATTACTCTGTGGTTGAGCTTCATATTAAAACCATTAAGACTAAAGAACAAAACATCCACTCTACACCTCTAGGACCTCCATTGTGTGCTTAAATCCCAGCAGAGCTTGCTTAGAGATTATACTTTACGGCAATGCTACAAGTGTTTCATTCACCTTTGTACCTCTGATTAGGAAATTAAATAAAGTTGTATAGTTTGCTATAAATGTACTTTAAAATGAGCAGTTTTAGAAAAATTCCCTAAAGGAGGTAGCTATTATCGTAGGTGGCACGGTAAGACTTAGACCCAGGACCGATATACTTTTTAATTTAATTTGTCATTTAATGTTCTCTGTCATATCAATCCATTTAAAAAAAGTCCAGTTCCTGTCGAACCACCTGCTTCGAGAGGAACTGGACATTTTTTAACAGATTGTATACGTGTGAGAGGGGAAGGTTGTCATCCACAAATTTGAAAAAAAAATTGCCAATCTAGAACGCCTAGCTCTAGCTAGTAGCTAGATTAATTATCCGTTTAATTTAAGCTGTAAGTTAACAGTTTACTGCCTCAAGAAAAAATTGAAAAACTCAAATTTATATTGATGATTTTGCCCTTGCAATTATGTAATCGACACATCGATGGTTGATAGTTACCATCAAATGATTGATACTTATGTTACCATCGATGGTTGACCTATCGATGCACTTCCCAATTTAACAACACCTACAATTCTGATGAAGAAGTTATTTAGTATGATATTTTTACTTAATTATTTAACAGCCTTTTAATAGTTTGTCAAATTGAACGCAAAAAATAAGATAATATATAAAGATAATTTATACAAATTAAAATTAAAATATAAAACAAGACAAGCTTAAATTGATATTGATGATTTTGCCCTGGAAAAATCAATGTTTTCGCAACTTGATGTAATTGGCACATCGATGGTTGATACCTGATGTTACCAATTACCATCGATGATTGATACTTTATGTTACCATCGATGGTTGACCTATCGATGCTCATCCCAATTTTACAACACCTACAATTATTCCGATCAAGAAATTATTATTTTAGTCAATGATGTTTTTACTTCATTATTTAATAGCCTTTTTATAGTTTGTAAAATTTAACGCAAAAAATAAAGACATATGAATGAATGATACAAAAATTTGAAGCCCGCTCTCGGCAGAGAGATAATTGTACCCATTTTACTCTTTCCTTGTGTCCCTGGGCCCATATAATAAAGGGTCTCTGCTCTAGGCACAAGCTGTGTCTCACTTGCTAGATTTGAATCTGTACCAAAACAACTAAAAATACCCCTGCCACAGCAAACCTGCTGACTAAGCCAATTTCAACTTGTCTGATTACATTTTTGCTAAAATATATTTCCATTAATAAGACTTATATTTAAATAATATTAGATTTGACGAGTGCTTAGGTTTGCTGCTATGGGGAAGGTAAAAGGTGTTTTTGACCATACATAAATTTTCAAGTTTCAATATTATTGAATTTAAATAAACATACTAGAGATGCTTAATACAAATAAATAGCATACTGTTGAGTAAAATTGAGTAGTTGTCTTTTAAAACCCTTTATCCTTTAAACGTCTTTCATACTATCAGAGTTAACAAATTGAATTAAAATGCGTTAAGATTTTGACTTTTAAATTACCACTGACGTTAAACGACACATTTAAAGTAGTCAGGAAAAGAAAATAACTAATTCTAACATTTATTTACTAGTTGTTATTTACAAATAAATAACATCTTATAATTCCTAAATATCACACATAGTTCTAAGTAAAATTTCAACATGTTGCATATTGCTACAACACAATGTACAAGTATCGATGTCTAAGAGTGAACTTGTCATAACGTAGGTTTGACAACAAAAGGTAGAGTGAGGGGAAGGGACTCTGATACAACAGCTGCTTGCACTTTGGTCTCTTCCTCTTTCCTGGAAAGTATTAAAAAATGTATAAGTTTTTATAATGCAGGCAAAATAACTTGTTAATGCATTGTTAGTAAACAACAAAAATAATTAAGTTAATAAGCTTGTTTTTTTTTAATAAAGCAACATAATGCAGCTGATTTATTGTCATTAATTATAATGTTTATGTGATTAACATTCTTTTTTCCACAGCCTCTCTATTAGTTTGAATCAATAGAAATGATTCTGGTTCAGGTGTTGTCTCCCGCCTACTATCAGTTATATTTCAAATTTTTGTCTTTTAAATGTTTATATTTTTAATTTCCATGTGTGTGTTAAGTGTATTGTTCATATTGACACCTCCAAATGAAGTGACAAGACATTCAGTACTAGCATAGACATAATAAATATAGACTGTCAAAGGAAGGCTCCGGCACCCACCGCTAGGAGTACCATGTAGTTACGGCGCACACCACTGCAGGCGATTAGCACAGGAGCCGCTGCAGCGGTGTGCGCCTTAACTACACGGCAAACCTAGCAGTGGACACCAGAACTTATGCTAACCGCAGCACAGCTGACGGTCTAAATTTATTCTATTTGTCTATGGTACTAAGCTGAAGATTACTTTCTTTTATAATTAGAAAATAGTTGCCCTATTGAAATATTCTGGATTGGACAAATTCAGATACAATATCTGAATATCTGTACCGGGTATATAGACCAGATGGTTTAAAAAATTGGAACCGGCTATCCTTGATCATTAGGCTTTTTAACTATAGGAGCAACTGGTCTTGTCCTGTAACAAAGCTAAACACCTAATTCTTTACTCATCCATCGTTCATATTTGGGTAAAAATACACAAAGGTGCATCCCCATCTAAATTAGTAATAAAGAAAAACAGTAAAATAAATTAATAGAGGTGTGCGAGCCTGAGGATCGAGCCGAATTTTGAGTTGAATTTTTTTGTTTAAGTAGGCCAACATAAATTTATTTTGAAACAAGAACTAAGTTTACAATAGATGAAAACAATAATTCATTTTATATAATTAAAAAACCATGTGTACTGAAAATAAGTGTGGTCAAATACAAATAATAAATATATCTATTCCAACGATAAATAAATAACTTATTAATATTTTTATTTGAAATAAATATTGCATTTCACATTAGCATACAAATTATTATTTGAAAAATATGTTAGTATAGTACAGTAGAACCTCTTTAATCCGAACCCCTGTAATCCGAACGTCCACTAATCAGAACGCCTCATACTGAACTGTACTCTAAACACAGTACAGTAGTTATTTATTGTATACGTTGTGTTTGTAATTGTTTCTATTGAAATTTACATTACTGTTAATTGACGATGTTTACTACTGTATTAAATAAACACTGTATTTTACTTTATAAAGCATTTTTCACTGTTCCTGTAACAATTAAGAGCCATTTTAGCCACATTATAGCTATTGTTAAGTAAAATCAACAACATGTTCTGTAATCCGAACTACCCCCGGTCCCAGTTCGGATTAAAGAGATTCTACTGTAGTTTAAGACACAATTGCGTAAACATAGTGTCGTTAACACTATTTACGCGAGTTGCATACACTACTTTACCTACAACAGTGTTTTAATTACTAAAAATAACTACTCATAACTCCTAAGAGAGGTTGTGTTTTCGTTTATTACCTCTCATTGCCGCTGACAGTGATGCAACGAAACATGTGCCAAACACTAATTGCACCACTCAACAATTAAATTAGCCTGAACAGCTGATTAGTTGAAGTTCGAATCATTACTTAACTATTACTTGCAATGCTAGCTTCTTTCTTTTTTTGGTTTGTCCAGAGTCTGATTTTTACTCACTATTGTATGGCACTATTTATTAATATTATTACATGTCTTGCTATTATGATTTGAATGCATCTTGTTTCTCTTTCAGTATTATTATTATTATGCCTTTCGCACATTACCTGATATTCTCTTGCATATCTTTTTGTAATGCTAGCTTCTTTTGTTCATAGTCCACCTGTTACTAATTTTGTATGTTCTATTTAATGCATCTTGTGTTCACCTATTGTATTATTTAGTATTTATTATTGCTTGTTATCTCCCACATGTAATGGTATTATTGTACAATGGCTTCTGCCGTGAATAAACAAATTGAATTAAATAGAATTACAATTTGACTTATTCTCTCTCAATCTTTGAACCTCATTGGTCCGTTACCAGTGTTGTTGTTCAACCTCTATGGTTATTTAATTATTATTTAACCATATGTTTTTATTTACTTTCTTTAATAATATTTTCTTGTATTTGTGTCTTGATTAAAAACAGTTTAGTTTCCAAACAAAAACACTCAACATTTAAGTAAATCAAACATTTCTCCAAATAAATCAAACAATAGTCAATACTTTAAGCCAATTAATGTCAATAACAGCCTGTCCAATGTCGAAAAGAGATGTTTTTGGTGTGGCTCGACAGTTTTACACAAAAGATTCAACTGTCCAGCTAAACAATACACATGTGGGTTTTGTAAAAAAGTCGGTCATTTCCCAAATGTTTGCAAATCAAACAAAGTCAGTCAAATTGAATATGATGATTCTCCCCTTGAAAACCCCACCGAAAATTTTTGCTCTCAGTACATAGACCCTCAAATTGGCTCTGTTGACAAAACCGTACGTGATGATCCATGGTCTGTAGTGTTCAATATGAACGACAGTGATGATGTTCTTTTCAAAATTGATACAGGAGCAGACGTAAGGATTTTGCCTTCCGACTTTAAATTGAACAAGAATATCAAACTGAATCCCACATCCAAAACATTTAGTGGCGCAAATGGTCAAGCTTTGTCAATTTTGGGAACTGCTACAGTCAAACTATCACATAATCACAAAACATGTTATGAGACTATATATGTTTCTAAGGGCACTTCCCAGCCTAGGGGGCTTCTAGGTAAACCTGCAATAAAAAATTTGCAGTTACTTGCTCGAATCAATGAAATACAGCCATCCTGTAATGACTGGTATAACAGACACCCTAAATTATTTGAAAAAAAAAAAAAAATTGTTTGAAGGCTTAGGTTCTATTGATGTCAAATACAAAGTAGAACTGAAAAATAACGCCAATCCATTTGCATTCAACACACCTCGTCGGATTCCTCTTCCTCTTTGGGAATCTACTAAAGAAGAGCTTGAAAGAATGGTGTCAATGGGGGTGATTGCTGAGGTACACCATGCCACAGACTGGTGCTCTCCAATGGTTGTTGTACCAAAGAAGCACTCTAACAAAGTTCGCATCTGTGTGGATCTTACTAAATTAAACAGATGCGTCAGACGAAGATACTATCCTATTCAACCCATTGACATAACACTTGCCCAAATCTCAGAAGCAAAATGCTACTCTAAATTTGATGCTAATAATGGATTCTGGCAGATCACATTGGACGAAGAATCCCAAGATTTGACAACGTTTCTGACACCGTTTGGACGCTTTAAATTTCTGGAACTACCCTTTGGAATAACATCTGCCCCAGAAGTATTCCAGGAATGCGTGAATCGAACCCTTAAAGGTCAAATGAATGCACTTGCGCACATGGACGATATAATTGTTTGGGGGAAAACTCAAGAAGAACATGACTATTTCTTAGAAGAAGTACTTACCAAACTTGAACGTGCAGGCTTCACCTTAAAACAGAGACAAATGTTTGTTTTCTCAAACCTCCTTAACCTACTGTACTTAGGTCACCATCTATCCGAATCAGGAATCAAAGTCGATGAGACCAAAGTCGAAGCTATAAGACAAATGGCACCTCCAACAGATATTTTGGATGTACAAAGGTTACTTGGCATGGTTAACTTTATTGGCAAATGCATACCTAACAAAAGTTTAATGCTATGTCAGCCAAGTTTAGTGTTTGTTTCTGTCTTGTTAGTTCTTCAGATCTACGGATAGTGTTAATAGCTGTGTTAAGTTTCAAATTCTGGTTCAAGTTGAAGACGATCACTTAGTGATTCGTCCTGAATACCAATAATCAAAACCATCAGAATCATCTCCTCCTCAATCTGACCCCAACCACAGTTTATTGCATGATTGTGAAGGTCTGTGATAAAGTTCTCAATCGGTATGGAACCCTGTTTAAGTTTTAGAAACCTAGCCCGTTCAAAAATTAAGTTCTTTTTGGAAGGAAATTATCGTCAAACTTATTTAGAACAACTTTGTAATTAGATTTGTCATTGTCATTTAACCTGAATGGGTTAAGTATATCCTCTCCCTTTTCCCCCATACAGTAGATATACTAAAACCCATTACCGACCTTCTAAGTAGAAAAAACGAATGGTGTTGGGGGTTTGAACAACAGAAAGCATTCAATGAACTGAAAGAATAATTAGCATCTCCACCTCAACTAGCATTCTATGGCAAGGATAAACCAACTATGATTTCTGCTGACGCTTCTACACAAGGCTTGGGTGGAGTACTTTTACAACAACAAACAGATGGAAATTGGAAACCGATCTCTTATATTTCACGTACTCTGAGCGAAACTGAACAAAACTACTCTAACATTGAACGAGAAGCTCTATCTTTAACATGGAGCTGTGACAAGTTTAAAGACTATATTGTGGGCAAGCTCATCATGTTGGAAACAGATCACAAACCTATGGTAAGTATTTTGACTACTAAAGAGATCAATGATATGACACCCCGTCTTCAAAGGCGCAGACTTCGTCTGATGAGATATTCCTACAATGTTACATATACTCCTGGCAAACATTTAGCAACTGCTGATTGTCTATCAAGAAGCCCTGTAGCAACTAATGAGAATTATGATTTGGATGAGGAAGTTGAACTGGCCATCCACACAGTAACAAGAAACATTGCCTATGTAACTGACATGGTTCTTGATAGAATTTCCTCGGCCCAGCGGGCTAGTTCAGAACTCAGGTTAATTAAATCTTACTGCTCAACTGAATGGCCTGATAAAACCAAGATTCCCGATAATCTTAAGCCATACTTCACAGTTCGGGATGAAATATCTTCTTGTGACGGACTGTTGCTTAGAGGAGAACGTCTCATAATCCCGGAAACTCTTAGACAAGAAATGTTGACAAGAATACACACAGGTCACCTAGGAATTACTAAATGTCGACTTAGGGCCAACAATAGTATGTGGTGGCCGGGAATGTCACTTGATTAGGGGTGTGCGAATACTCGAATCTTCGAGCTTTTTGGTCGAGCTTTTCATTATTCGGCTCGGCTCGAGACGAATCAACTCTGTAGAATCTCAACTGGTAGAATCAACTCTGGGAATTTCTCTGGTAGTACCAGAGTGATTCCCGAAGAATATCGACAGAAGATGAACATCCTAAATTCTAAAGCGCCCGTGATGAAAGGGATCCCAAAAATACACAAGAAGAATGTACCCATCAGACCATTAGTTAACTTTAAATGTGCTCCTACCTACAATGTTTCAATATTGTTAGCAAGTAAGCTCAGCAATGATTTAGAATTAGAATATGTATACAATGTAAAGAATAGTTATGAATTTGTTGAACGTGTAAAGAACATAGATATAGATTCGAATAGTAGGCTAGTCTCATTTGATATCGCAAATCTGTACACAAACATACCTGTATCAGAAACTGTAGATCTTGTTAAATGTAGGCTTTTGCAGAATAGTTTAGACGATGAATATGTCAATCAGATTGTAAAATTGCTTGTGACTGTTTTGAAGCAAAATTATTTTAGATTTAACAATAGATTTTACGAACAAACAGATGGTTTAGCTATGGGAAGTCCACTTTCGGCAATTTTGTCAGAAATATTTTTACAGCACCAGGAAAAAGAAATGTTAATGAATTTAAGAAAGAATCATGATGTAAAACTGTATGTTAGATATGTAGACGACATTCTTGTTATCTTCAGACAATCCCAGGAGCAGGAGCATGAAACGATGATGCAGACACTAAACAGCCACCACCCAAACCTCACCTTTACCAACGAGTTTGAAGAAAACAAAAAGATCAACTTCCTGGACCTCACATTAGAGAGAAAAGACAGCAAGATAGAGTTTGACATCTACAGGAAACCTACGCAAACGGACACTACAATCAACAACAAGTCTATCCATCCGACAATCCACAAGACCGCAGCCTTTAGATCTATGCTGTACCGAGCCTATAAGATCCCACTTAGCCAAGCCAATAGGAAAAAAGAACTGGACACCATTAAGAAGATCGCCCAAGTGAATGGATTTCGAACCAAGACGATAGAGGACATCGCAAGGAAGACGAGGAGAAAAATCGATAGACAGAATACACTAAACAGCAGAACAACATTAGAAGAGATAAAAGAGGAAAGCACCAGATATATCACATTTAGCTACACGGGGACTACAACACAAAGGACTGCTAACAGATTCAAGAAATACGGAGTTTCAATAGCCTACAGGACTCAGAACACCATGAGTAAAATACTGCATCCAAAAATAGAAGATTGTAACAAATTTGACACTTCGGGCATCTATAAAATCAATTGTAACGATTGTGATAGCTTCTACATTGGACAGACTGTGAACTTCGTAAACCGCTTCAAAAACCACATATCTGCGTGGAGGAACAACAAACCGGAAAGATCAAATGTCGCACAACACCTGTTACAAAATGGGCACTCACTAGGAAAAATGGAGGATAGTCTAGATATTTTAAAGAATTGTAAGAAAGGATATGTAATGAATGCTTGGGAGGAATTGTATATTTATAAGGAAAAATGTAAAGATAGAAATAAGTTGATTAATGAACAAATACATTTTGATTCCAGTTGTACTTATAAAAATGTATTGGCCGGTGCTTCCGGTAGCCAATAGGGTATAAGTAGGGACGCCATTCAAGATTCTTGTCATTCGCCTATTGGGTCTGATGATGATTGGAGTGTCCAATCGAAATCGATCACCACTTACCATCGTTTTTGTATATTTACCGTCTTGTGAGTAACAGTATAAGCGTAAATATATGTTTTAAGTGTTAAAAGACGTTTCTTTTATTTACTTTCCGTAAATTTAATAACACGTACAATGCTGATCAAGAAGTTATTTATTTTTTAATACAAAATAGAATTAAATATTCATAGTAGTAGTTACAATATACATAATAATGTAATCGTCTTGCTAGTTGTTTTGTCGTCATTCAAGGTCGCGTTGCTGTTCTGTTATGAAAGACAATCTGATTGTCTCAGTCTGCACTGCATATCAGGCATTCAATTATCCTTTTATTTCTTGCATCTTAATTTAGTTCAGTTCAGTTCTTATCATGATTATCTACTATTTGATGTCTTGACAATTCTCAATGTTTTTAAACATATTAAAATAACATTGTGTTTATTTAAAAATTGACTGAACATTATTATTATGCACTTTTTTAAGAAAAAAAGTTTAATAATTTAGATAAGGTGACGCTAGAAAAAGCTCGGCTCGAAAAAGCTCGAGCTCGAAAATTTTTGAAAAAGCTCGGCTCGGCTCGAGGTTGAAAATCACTATTCGCACACCCCTACACTTGATATTGAAAAATATGTTAATGATTGTCCAAAATGTACAAAACATAGAACACAACATCATGAACCCCTTTTACCAAGCGAGCTTCCATCTCGTCCTTGGGAAAAGGTAGCGATAGATCTCTTCAAACTCGAAGGAACATGGTTCGTAGTAATCACTGACTGTTTTTCCCGTTATTTCGAAATAGCTACATTAAAAAACCTGTCAACTGCTGAAATAATCGAGAAATTCAAATCTGTATTTTGCCGTCACGGTATACCAATTGAGCTACGATCTGATTGTGGCACACAGTTTGCTACCAGATACACTGGTCTTGAAAACACTGAATTCAAAAAGTCCGCTCAAAGCTATAACTTTAAACTTGTGACGAGCAGCCCAATCTACCACCAAAGTAACGGAACAGCTGAAGCTGCAGTCAAAATAGCAAAAAGTGTACTAAAGAAAAACAAAGAAGATCCGTATTTAGCTATCCTGACTTATTGCAATACACCCCTATCCACAAATGGATACAGTCCTGCTCAACTAATATACAATAGATCATTAAGAGATAACCTGCCTGTTTTACCCAAACAACTTGAAATCAAACCCAATCTCTCTCAACTAAAGGAAAAAGAAGATACTTACAGAGCATCTTACAAGAGAAACTACGATAGACGCTACGCTACAAGAGAACTTCCATCGCTGCATGTAGGTCAAAAAGTATGGGTCCAAGACTTAAAAAGAGAGGGGATTATTATCAGCTTAGGACAAGAACCAAGGTCATACTGGGTTAAGACAGGAAACACTACGTTGAGAAGGAATCGACACCACCTTTTGCCTTACAAAGGTAATACAAGCAAACAGAGCAATCCAATTCCTTTATCCATCAAAGATACTCTGCCATTTACTACTGTTACTCAAACCAACTCGTCCCTATCAAATACTACTGAAAAAGCAACTACTACTCCATCTAGAACCCCCCTAAGAGTACAGTAAATCTTTTTCACGATCAACAATTCCCAATCAAGAAGCTGCAATTAAAAAATCATCAAGAGGCAGAATTATAAGACCAACCAAACGATTTCCTGAATAAACTTTGAAAAAAAAAAACTCAAAGGGAAAGATGTTCAACCTCTATGGTTATTTAATTATTATTGAACCATATGTTTTTTTTTACTTTCTTTAATAATATTGTCTTGTATTTGTGTCTTGATTAAAAACAGTTTAGTTTCTTTTGATCTTTTAATTTTTATCTGAATAAGAAATAGAGCAGTTGTTATGACTATAACTACGCTGTTATGAAAGTAAACGATGCTGTTATGTGAAACTTTTCAATTCTAAGAACTGAACTGAAACGGCTACTTTATAAAACGGTCGTAGGTAAAATATTTTGCGATCAAGAAAAATATCTCCAGTGAGTTACACATGCACCTGTATAGTATTTACATAAGAAGGGTTTACAAATTTTATATTTAAGTATTGGAGGAATGGTTTTCTTCCAACTAATTTTTAACGACATAACCCTTTTATAACTATCGAGAGTTTTAAAGCATGTCTGAATCGGTTACCTTACCTGTAAAAAAATCAGTTCACACCTAATCATAAGTTGGGTGTAGCCTATTAAGCACTTATCTCAATCTCATCATGACATATAAATGCATATTACTACACCTCGCGGCCAAAGCCTGAACATAACCCGTGGTCAGAGAAAATTTCAAATTTGTCATGGTCTCCCGCGGTTGCAGCAAAATCGAGTTTATCACAGGCAGTCACGATAAAATTATTGTCTTCCGCGATATCATGAACATCTCAAGCGGCTTTGTGGACATCATCATCGTCACACCTCCCATGATTATATTTATTACATCCTGAATATCATACATGGTCGTTTAAACATCATCATTGTCTTCTGCGATTGTAACAAAAAACTGGATATCACCCGGGGTCGTGTAGACCGTCTCCCGATGATAGACATAATCTTTGTTCTCTGTGATACCGGCAAAATCTTAGACATCTGTAGTCGAGTAGACATTATCATAATCTTTTCCCGCGACCACAGACACATCATCATCAACTCATGCGATCGCGGCCAAATACCTAACATCTCCCGCAGTCGTTTGAAATCGCCTTCTGCGATCGTGGCCAAATCCTGGATTATCTCAAGGGTTACGGCATCATTGGGATTATCGTTCACAATCACAGAAACATTTTGATCATCTCCCACTGTGATCATGGCAACGACTAGGTTATCTCACGCAATTATGGTATCATCTTCCTTAGGTAAAATGCGTAAGTAGTGAATTTATTCAGTGTAATGGTAAGTTCATGCTGGATTTTTTAAAAATAACTTCAGATTTAAAATAAAGCACTTCTACAAGGGATGGACTGAGAATGTAATACTCACTTTGTGTACCAGTGTTTCTTGGTAAACAGCAAAAGCAGCATCAAAACTGGCAGTTGTATCAGTGAAAAGTGGAAAAGCTTGCGAGAACTAGAACTGTCTGACTTGCGATGGAACCTCCAAGCTGCTCACACAATACAAATATTTACAATTTTATACTTGCAATAAGGTGTTGACATAAATATGTGGTTAGTAAGGAGTACAACTACTGATTCCAAATCATATTAGCGAATTTCCCTATAGGGAAGTAGCTATTACCGTAGGTCTCATGGTAAGACTTAGGCCCGGGACCGATTTACTTTTTCATTTTAATGTCCCCAGAGGCCAAAAACACCATTCGTTCAAATTTTTATATATGTATATATATATATATATATATATATAGGTATATATATAGATTTATATATATATATATGTGTCCGTGAACACGATAACTTGAGTAATTTTTATCCGATTTTGATGAAATTTGGTTTGAAGGTGTAAGGCGGGATAAACTTGAATGAGTTCGCGATCCAGCATGATCGGACCATGGGAACAGGGTTTTATAGGGGGTTTTATGGGGTAAAAATGGGTTTTTCTCACTTTTTACCCTCAAAACACAAAATTTCCCAATTTTTCTCTAAACCTTCTTAAAGAGCTTAAAAAAACAAACAATTCAGTATATCAAAGTGTTTTTGTACGGTTATTGGTTACGGAGAAAACTAAAAAAATGGTAAATTTAAAATTCCCATGTTATTCTTATGGAGAATATTGTAAAATGTTGAAGTTTGCTTGTTTATGGATATATTTTGATCAAAGTTGGCAAATTTATTTATTTTATAGTAAGCTATCAATATTTTACTAAAAACACACTACTTTATTAGTTTCCTTGTAGCAGCAAACCTAGGTACTCGTTAAACCTAATAATGTTATTTAAATAGATCAATTGAAAATCAATTCGGACAAATGGAAATTCGCTTAGACGGCAGGTTTGCTGCGGCGGGGGTATACAATTTTGTTAGTGTAATAGCCTCCGGACTAACAATTAATATTAAAATAAATTCCTGCTTTATGATATCTCTAAAAATAGCTTTCAGCATCTAGTTTCAGCAACAAGTTGATGCTATCTTCAGAATGTACAAGAACATACTATTGTAGTCATTCTCTTCCAAACGTCTGCCAGTAAAAAAAAAACCCAACACAAAACTATCATGGTTGGAACACAAATCACATAGTAACACACAACTTGCTAACATTTTAAAACTAGGTAATTAACTTCTGCCAGTTACATACGACAAAATTAGCTGGTTTTCAAATTTTTTACATATTTGACGTATTGATTCATTTGTATTTGACTTCCATCGATGGGCTGTTTCAAGTTTTTAAAATTCACGGTCTTCTGAAGACGATTACTAAAATAGTATGTTCTTGTACAGCTTTAAGATGTCACCAACTTGGTGTACTAGTTTTTAGCCAACTAGTTTCTGGAAGCAAATTTAAGGATTATTATAAACCACATACTTCCACCATTTAGTAACATGTTGGTTTTACAGAATAAGGAATGCGACATGACATACTAGTATGGGTGTGAATAAAGTGTATTTAAACTGAGTGAGTGGAAAGTATAGGACATTTAAAACACAAACTTCCTAAATGAGAATTAGTGGATTTAAGATTTGAGGCCTTGGCTTTGAGGCTTTAACCGACATAAACTGAACAGGTGTCATTAGTGGTTGTCTAATATATTTTTGTCACTAACATACTGGTACAAACCATTTACGTAACACAATTAATTTAATTACTAGATTATGATTAAAATAAATTCAATTCAATTTATTACTAGAGATGTGCGGTTTTTAGCATTGAATATATATCATACAATGGATATATGCTTAATTGGCGTTACAACCCCTAGTAACAGGAAACTAACACAAATTGACTTTCATTTGAACTTGGTAGATTTTTTTCGCTTTATTTCTGTTTCATTTGATTTGATTTGATCTTTGAGCTCACAAATATTTTAGGCTAGGCAAAAGTAAAACCCGTGGGTAAGAAAATAAATACAAAGTTGAAATTTTCTATCTAGCAATACTTTGATAGTTAATAGCTTGGATTAAATCTTTTCTTATGTCTAATATGTTGATTGGGTTTAAAAATAACTACCAAGTTTCTGACACATCGTAATGCAGTAACATAGGTTATACAGCGTAGCCTATCGATCATTACTAGTGTACCTGTTGCTCGAATTCGAGCAATTGCTAAGTATTACAGGCATTAAAACGAAGGTATTAGGTATTATGTATTAAAACGAATAACAGCCATAATTTCTTATGACATCAAAGATTCGACTCAAGGAATATAGTAATACTTAAGATGTACATAACATATCGATATTTCTAGGTGTTTACATAGATGAACCACTAAAATGGGATGTACATCTGAATCAATTAAAAAGTAAACTTAGATCCATGTCAATTGTATTTCTGCACTTAAGGGACTGTGTTCCTAAAGAAACTCTGAAAATGGTTTATCATGCTTATGTAGAATCAGTATTGAGGTATGGTATAATCTTATGGGGTCAGGCTACCGGAGTCAAATCAATATTCAGGCTACAAAAACGCATTATCCGTATTATGACCAGCTCTCATCCACGTAGTTCATGCAAAAACCTTTTTCGAAATTTAAAAATCCACACCCTAACAGGACTGTACATTTTGGAATCACTAAACTACATTCATTCAGCTAAAAACGACCTCCCAGAATCAATTCAAATCAACCATAGATATAATACTCGAAATGAAAACATTTTTAGATTTCCAAGGCACCATTTGACCCTTTATGAAAAAAGTCCACTATATGCTGGGCTGAGGCTGTACAATGTGCTGCCTGCAAACTATAAATTGTTAAATGAAAATAATTTTAAAGATAAAATAGGTGAACTCTTAATTGACAGAGCCTTTAATTTAGGCCTAATTGCAGATTTTCACAATACCCCTTTAGTTTAGAATAGTTTTATCATTAAATTTTGTTAATTTATATTATTATCTTGATTACTATTTTATTTTTTATATCCTGATAATTTTAACTCTGACAATGCACCTATTCTGTATGTAACACATGTAAAGAATGTTATGTGCAAAGAAAATATGTCTGTGTCTATGTCTATAATCAACATTCCTTGTAAATCTTTAATTTCCATTTCTTCTCCTTGGTGGTGTTCTATGAATTTCCTATGTTTCCATAGTTTGCAAATCGGCTCTTTCAATGATTGCTAAGAGTTGCAGCACAGTGTTAATTCAGTTTGCTTTTTAGTATATCAAATTATCCAGGCTCTCGCTATTTTCCATTGTAATATTTACGCCAACCCAAATTCAAATAGTAAATATTTCATTTCAACCAAGTCAGTAAATATTTGTAGCAAAATGTTAAATTAGCAAACTTATTGACTGTTAACGATTAACATATGTTCTTGTTCTCACTATTAATTTCTGATAACAGCTGGAGTTTCACAACAATGTTTGTTTCCCATGTTAATCTTATGGATAAATACAAAACTTTAAAGGGCCCCAGGGCCCCACTCTCTAATTATTTCCCTAAAAAGAAAGTTGCCTGCACAACTTCACGTCACACTCTTTCCAATGACACCAAAAACATGTCAATCGGTTCAGTAGTTTCAGAGGAGTAATTGTCACAAAAAACCAGATTGCGTATTAAATAAGTATAGATTACAATGTCAATGTTTGATTGTTGATTTTATTACTTTTCATGGTGACGACACTCATATTATGAATTTTTGGTTTTTATTTATTTTGTCAGTCATAGAAATTGCTCACCAACCACTGTTTTTGGTGGACGTAGTATTGGAATTACGTCCAGGGAAACTAATGATGAATTGATGATTATGAAGGTTTTGTTTCCAGTCCAAAACATATTATAGTCTATCCGAAAAATTTGTTTATCAGATTGTGACAGATATAAAAGTTGGGCTCGGGTTGGAATTCAACTAGATTTTTTAGGATATCCACACACTTCTAGTTATACAGTAGAACCTCGATTATCCGGATTGGGGAGGGGAGGGGGGGGAAGGAGACCATGGATAAACTGAAAACCACGGTTAATACAACATAATAATATTCATTATAAAATGCCTTTATTTAAAATGGTCTTCAGTCAAAACTGGTTTTCAAGACAACTTGTATATTTTACACAATAATTACAAACAGAAGGTGAAACTAAACTATTTTTAATTTGACCTTAAATGAATTACATGACAGACTTTTCATATTTCTTGGGAGGGTATTGTATGCCTGGGATCCAAATTATAAGAACCCCTTTTTACCTATCTCACGCCGCACTCTCGACATTTCAAGCAAGCCGTCCTGCCAAGTACAGCATTTCCTAGCTGATGTTCGAGGCATAAGTTTCATTTTCAAATAGGGAGGCAAATTAGAAGGCAGTGTCTTGTGAACAATCAAAACAGTTTGTAGAAAACATTGTTTTTTTCCAAAGAGAGCTCCTTAGCCTGTTTGCGATAGGTAGATATATGATCAAACTTCTTCAGATTGAAGACAAACCTTAGGGCTCGGTTTTGCAACCTCCTAAGAAGAACTCTACAGTCATGAGTAAGAAATTCACCAAATGATGGAAGTGCTTTGTGAATTAATTATAGGGAAGACTTTTGATTTGATCAATTCTAGCTTAGCAGTTTCAGATAGTATCCATTTCATCGGTGTAAATCTATTTGAAACTCTCTGACACATGTAACTAACATGTGGGCGAAAATTAAGTTGAGAATCAATTCTGATGTCTAACACCTTAACAGAATCAGACACCAAAAGAATTTGACCGTCCAGCTCTACCTTTCCAACAAGACTATGTTAAGGCCCAATCCATACATTACCTAACCACAACTACACACACATACATACACATACTATACATCTACACCTTAACACTACAAACTAAGTAAAGAGGAAAAGGGATTTTGCAATATCTCAACATACTCACTACAAAAAGCTTACGTTTTACTCACCAAGCAGCAGGAAATACAAGTTGAGAGGTAAAGAAGCATAGGCAAACCATTGGTTAGTCATATCCAGTAGTGACGCTGACACAGACAATGGCACTAAGAGAGCTGTGTACCGGAGAGCAGTTCTGCGACACAAGCCTGGACAGTATAAAAAAAACATTTTCAATAAGTCTTGAACGTTTTAGATTAGGGAGCGTCTACTATAGTTAGATGTATAAGTAGAATTATTGTAAATTTAAATAATCTAAGAAATATATAGGTTTAGCTAGGTCTATCTGATTGATTTCATTTTTGTAATTTAAGCATATAAGTGTTAATAAATCTTTACCGTAAAATTGCCATAGTTCCATTGTTAAATACAGTACTTGTAAGCCCGCAAAAATCCATTTAAAATTTGAACAAAATACTAAAAATTCAGGAACAATCAATTCAGATTATATTAAAATTAAATTATAATGAATCGGTAAAACTCTTTTTTTCTAAAATTGGTATCATGACTGTATATGCAATGTACATTTATGAAACTATAATTTCTGTAAAAAACCGTCAGGACCAACTTCATTTTGTTGGAGATACTCATAATTATAATACAAGATTCAGGAATAGAATTGGCATTGACAAACATAAACTTGGATTTTATGAAAAAAAGCCAATGTATATGGGGTCAAAATTTTATAATATGTTACCAAAAGCCATTAAATCTGAGAAAAATATTAATAAATTCAAATATCAACTAAAAAAATATCTTATTGATTTAACATTATATTCTTTCTCCGAATTCCCATGTAAAAATGATGTGTAAAGAAAGTTTTTAGTTCAGTTTTTCTTTTCATGCATATAACTATATCTTTTGTTTTGACAGCCCTAGTATTAACCAATCTTAGTTATAATGTATCTTAGTATTAATTAATATTGACACCATTCTATGTACAGAGTACTAATATTGAATAAAGATTTTATTGATTGATTGATTGAAATAATAAGTCATTCATTACTTAAGAACTTTGGTTGGTTTACCCGTACACAAAAGGTGATTGAAATTAACCTATGTAGCTCTTGTGGAGAAACCTTAAAGTAACTAATTAAGGAACATGCCTTCAAAAAATCATTGAACATGCCACTAAACAAATAAGTAGGGATGGACGGGTCCCGAAATTTTCGGGAAAAAAATATTCCTGATTATCGGGACGGAATTTGGTCCAATCGTCGGCGATTTTGCCGCTTCCCGAGTGCCGATGACGCCGCTATTGCGAGCAATAGGTCTGCAAACGCAGGAGACGAAGTCATTTCGACGATTGCGCCGTGACCGCGGAGTCATAACGACGATCGCGCCGTGACCGCGATTATTGGACCTACGATCGCACCGTGACCGCGAGTCATAACGACGATCGCGCTGTGACCGCGGAGTCATAACGACGACAGGGTGTCTACCAGATTTCTCAAATGGAATTCCCGACTTTTTCCCGATTTTTCATTACCATTTTTATATAAATCCAAAAACCAATATATATTATATGGACCAAAAACTCGGTCCATTCTCAATGTTACTACACCTTTTTCCGTCTCGCGGTCACGGTACCTTCGTCAACATATGTTGTCACTCGCGACGCAGCGAAATCACTGACAATCGAAACAAATCACATGCCGAGAAAATCCCTTATTAAATGTAGGGGGTGTGTGAAGCAGCAAAACATTTCAATTCAAAGCAACGATTCGATTTAAAAAAATGTTGATGTAACTCGATTTGAAGCAACATGGAATTTTTCTATTCATACTTGTCAGTGGAGTGAAGTATCTGTTTTCAATCATACATTAGAAGAACCAGAATATCTGGAAATGTCAGTGAGCTTCTTTTAAACTCATCGAAAATTATGACTGTTATTACTGTAGTTTTAAAATAACTTCTTTATAATACCGGTACTGGACAATTGCTCGATTTCAAGCAACAGGTACACTAGTTTTATTTTATTGATTTTATAAATAAAGATATGTTTGGGTGTAAACAAATAAAAACCTTTGTAAGATTTAAATACTGAATCTTTCAATTGGTTTACATTGATAAAAAAAGAGGATAGCATCAGAACTACAAATAACTTCTTGTATGGCGAAGCAATGTCTCAGTGTATGCCATGTACTTGGATGGCAATAACCTGTATGGTGAAGCAATATCAAGGTGTATGCCATATACTTGGATTTTTTTTTTCCTAGGACGCTAGGCCTGAGCCAGGGATTGTTTTTCACATTACTTCAGGCTAGACTTAGGGGTTGCGGCATTATCACTTGGATAAAATCCATTGGTGACTTGGCGGGGATCGAACCCGGGACCTCAGGGACTGAAGTCCCGTGTTCTAACCACTACACCAGCTCGCTCCCCCAAGTCCAATTCTTTACTTTACTTTCTGTTCTTGGATTGCAATAACCTGTATGGCGAAGCAATGTCTCAGTGTATGCCATGTGTACTTGGATGGTAATAACCTGTATGGCGAAGCAATGTCTCAGTGTATGTCATGTACTTGGATGGCAATAACCTGTATGGCGAAGCAATGTCTCAGTGTATGCCATGTACTTGGATGGCAATAACCTGTATGCTAAGAAATGTCTCAGTGTATGCCATGTACTTGGATGGTAATAACCTGTATGGCTAAGAAATGTCTCAGTGTATGCCATGTACTTGGATGGCAATAACTTGTATGCTAAGAAATGTCTCAGTGTATGCCATGTACTTGGATGGTAATAACCTGTATGGCGAAGCAATGTCTCAGTGTATGCCATGTACTTGGATGGCAATAACCTGTATGCTAAGAAATGTCTCAGTGTATGCCATGTACTTGGATGGCAATAACCTGTATGCTAAGAAATGTCTCAGTGTATGCCATGTACTTGGATGGCAATAACCTGTATGGCGAAGCAATGTCTCAGTGTATGCCATGTACTTGGATGGTAATAACTTGTATGGCTAAGCAATATCTCAGTGAATAACTTATATAATTAATGTCAATCATCTGAATAATGTCAATAAGTTATATGGATACTGATAGTCAAAGTAACAGTATCAATGTAACAGTCAACTACGTATATGGATACTGATTCAATGACGTATATAGATACTGGCTCAATAACTTATGGATACTGATTCAAAAACGTATTTAGATACTGATTCAAAAACGTGTTTGGATACTGATTCAATAACGTATGGATACTGATTCAATAACGTATGGATACTGATTCAAATACGTATTTGGATACTGATTCAAAAACTTATTTGGATACTGATTAAATAACGTATATAGATACTGACTCAAAATGTATGGATACTGATTCAAAAACGCATTTGGATACTGATTCAATAATGTATATAGATACTGACTCAAAAATGTATGGATACTGATTCAATACCGTACATAGATACTGATTCAATAACGTATGGATGCTGATTCAAAAACGTTTTTGGATACTGATTCAATAACGTATGGATACTGATTCAAAAACGTATTTGGATACTGATTCAATAACGTATATAGATATTGATTCAATATCTTATGGATACGGATTCAACAACGTATATGGATACTGATTCAAAAACATATATGGATACTGATTCAATAGCGTATATAGATACTGATTCCATAACGTATGGACGCTGATTCAAAAACGTTTTGGATACGGATTCAATAACGTATATGGATACTGATTCAATAACGTATATGGATACTCATTCAAAAACGTAAATGGATACTGAATGCCCATGATTCAAATCATTATTTTGATCATCACTGAATCAAATTGGAATTCCGATGCATTTTCGATTCATCCCACACCCCTCAAATGTAATCCCGTCCCAATGATCAAGAATATAAGATCCAGAACATTTTTTTAAAGTTTTGGAACCCGTTCATCCCTAATTTTGAAAGGTTAGATTATTCCCGACTTTCGGACGAAATTCATGACTTTTTCACGACTTTTCCCAACCTTTCAAAATCCCCAACTTTAACCTGAATTTCCCGGAATTCCCGACTGGTAGATACCCTGGACGATCACGCCGTGACCACGATTCATGGACCGACGATCGCACTGTGACCACAAGTCATAACAACGATCGCGCCGTGACCGCGGAGTCATACCGATGATCGCGCCGTGACCGTGAGTCATACTGACGATCATGCCGTGACCGCGAATCACCCCGTGACCGCGTGTCATACCGACGATCACCCCGTGACCGCGGTCATTTTGACGATCGCACCGTGACCGCCAGTCATTTCGACCGCGAGTCACAAGTTTCTATAGGTACCTGTAAATTGTTACCCATTTTTTGGTTTTTTTATAGATCAGTGCCACAAACGGTAAAAATTGATTTTGTATGTCTTTTTGTAACTGCAATAGGCCCTACTCAAGTCTTTTTTTATGCACAGGAAAAAATTCCGTCACGTCCCGTTCCAAAAATCGGGAAGGAAATAAAAATCCCGTCCCGAACTAAAAATTAAATCCCGTCCATCTCTACAAATAAGTAAAGTCTGGATAATAAACTCACCTGGATTTGTGACAGACATCATCCTGTAGCCAGCTCTGGAGTAGTCAGGTCTCAGGTTCCAGGAGAGAGCGTTGAAGTGTGGGAACTGCCAAGCATACAGCAACCCCGCTAGGACCCAAGCTCCTGGCTCCAGGGCTCCAGAACATGCGGCCCATCCCATCAGTGGGGGCAGCGCTCCAACTAGAACAACACAGACAGACCATTAGACAAACATACAGGAGATCTGCTGTGACCCATGCTCCAGGTCCCATGCTCTCAGAACATGCAGCCCATCCCATTAGTTAGGGGGGGAGGGGGCAGCGCTCCAACTAGGAACAAATAGAAGGATTTTGAAACAGTTGTACTTTTGAGCCATTAATCCTACCCAGACTGGCACACATTTGTAAAATTAAAAATATGTATCTTAATTTCAGGCACTTTTTTTATACATTTCCACTTCCAATAAACATAACAGATGACTCCTTAGTCTATCTACAACATGTCTTTACAGTAGGGGCGAGCATCAATAGTCAATATTTTCGCAACACAGATGCGCAACACGCAATGTTTTGTCGAACATCTCTGTTTTTTGCCTACTATCAAAGTATTAATCAGTATGTTATTACATAACTGAATTGTATACGTTTTAAAGAAAATTTCACATAAACAAACACAGAGCACCCTCTCTCCTTTCTTTTGAGGTTATGGTTATGATGCGTAAACTTACTGTGCAACCCAATCTCGAGGTCTCGTATCGCGCCAGGGTAATCATAGCGGACGAGACCTATAGATTTCGTAACGCACTATTGGATTAATGCACAAAAATATAAAACGCAGCAAACGTGTTAAAACCTGTGTCCTCCAAGGAAAAAGATTCTAAAATACTTTGATGCCACAAGGACTGTTAGAAAAAGTAACAGTGTATTTCAGCTTATATAGATTTGTATCATATACCTTATTATATTGACTTACTACTTTACTAATTGAATGGATCCATTCATACAAGAAGAAAGTTCAATCTTATTTTGTGCAAAATCACACAAGTACCCCTAATAATCAATTAAGACCGATATTTTCATCTTGCAAATGTGAAAGAAACTACCAATCTAGAATGTCCCGTTAATAGCTAGATTAATTAGCTGAGGCAAAAAGCAAACAGAAAACTCACAATGAAAAAAAAATGCTTATCGATGATTTTGCCTTAAAAACATTGATGTTTTTGCGACGATCTTATCGTTGCATTGTTGGTTAACACCGATGTTACCATCGAAGGTTCACCTATCGAATACATCAAGAATAAAAAAGGGGCTTTGTTATTTATCAAACAAATTTTTTTTTAAACATAAAATATGGTAAATTTGAACAATATTTGATCTAAAATGATGTTTGATACGTTTAAGGACACAGCGCTTCTACAGAGGACTGAAAAGTAGCATCGTAGTAGCGCAAACCATTTGGTTACTGAACGCTAAATAGCAATCAGCGGACATTTATCTGCTTCTCGTATGCAGCATCCACAACCATTATGGGTTTGGATATATTTGTCAACCGTGGGGGAAAAATTAAATATTTTATAGACTTTTCTCTGTATCAAATTCCTGTCTTGAATGGTAGTCAAGTATTATATCCACTATGAATATGTATATCTAGAAATGTAAAATATCTAAAGCTATAAAATATTTTATTAAAATCTTTTAGGCATTCACTTACCGACAGATCCGACCCATGTGTTGAGGATACTTATCCTCTTGAGTGGTGTGTAGACTGATGTGTAAAGTACGAGGTTTGTAATCCCAAGCATAGTGGTCAATGGGTTGACGCCAACATAGAGCAAAGCTACTCCTGTAGTAGCACACACTGATGCAAACCCCAACGCATGGATTGGGCTACACAAATCAATTTAAGTCTTTGAGTGGCACAACAAGAAGATACTTCATTTTTAAAACACATTTCTAATTATTGAAAAGATAGCTACAATCACTCCTAAATTCCTATAGTATACAACATAAATGTCTTGTTTTAAATGCTCTAAGAACTGAACACATTCAATCAACATATCATGTTTAGTGTTATCACTTGTAGTAGGTACTTAATTGAATAAAAACTGAGGAGGTTAATAAACATTCATTATAACTTAGCATTTTAAAACTGTTAAGAATTGAACTCTAACTGGAAACTGAATATAAACATTGTAAATAACAAGTAAATATAATACCCCCGCTGCAGCAAACCTGCCAACTAAGCGAATTTCCATTTACCTGGATTGATTTTCAATTAATCTATTAAATTAACATTTATGTAACGAGTACCTAGGTTAGCTGCTACAGGTAAACTAATGAAGTGTGTTTTTTATTAAAATATCAACAATAGCTTAGTATGAAATGAATAAATCCGCCAAGTTTGATCAAAATACAAACAAGCCAACTACAACATATTATAATATTATCCATAAGAATAACATGGGAATTTTAAATTAACAATTTTTTGAATTTTCTCCGTAACCAATCACCGTACAAAAACACTTCTATATACTAAATTATTTGTTTTTTTAAGCTCTTTAAAAAGATCTGGAGAAAAATTGATAAATTTTGTCTTTTAAGGGAAAAATGAGAAAAACCCATTTTCACCCCATAAAACCCCCTGTTAAACCCCGTTCCCATGGTCCGATCATGCTAGTTCGTGAACTCATTCAAGTTTATCCCGCCTTACACTTCAAACCAAATTTTATCAAAATTGGACAAAAAATCTCAAGTTATCCATCTATAGATAGATGGACATATATATATACATATATAAACATTTGAATGAATGGTGTTTTTGGCCTCTGGGGACATCAAAATGAAAAAGTAAATCGGTCCCGGGCCTAGGTCTTACCATGAGACCTACGGTAATAGCTACTACCCTATAGGGAAATTCACTAAAAGCTGTTTTAGCAGGTTAGGAAAAAAAATACATGAATTATTGAAATATATTTAGCTATATTTAGCCCATATGTTTCCTTGACTTAGCTAACTCATCTAAAAGTTACAAACTTTTTAACTATAGTTCGGCCGCTTAGAAAATGACCTGCGCGCTAATGCTAAACCAATGCTGGAGGAGGTCGTTTTCTAAGCGGCCGACCTATAATCACAGATTTAATTAATTTTAATTTTAATTAATCAAAGTTGGATGGGCCACACTCTAAGACGACCAAATGATAACATCAGCAAACAAGCTTTAGAGTGGAATCCCCAAGGAAGCAGAAAGCAGTGAAGACCAAAGATAACTTGGAGGAGATAGAGGAGGAAGGCAGGAACTGGAGAGAAGTAAAGCAGCTGGCCCAGAACCGTGTACGGTGGAGAGCTTTTGTTGCGGCCCTACGTCCCCCACGGTAATACAGGAACTAAGCCATGAAGTAAGTCAGACTCACAAGTTTTGATTACCCACGTTTTCCTATACATAAATTTAATTGGTTTTACAAACATGTATATTATTCTAAAACATTAATCCCAAAAGAGTGTTAAACCCATTGAGGGTTTTATTTTTAGGAAGACATAAAACCTAAATCACAATTTTTATTTATTTTCTTAGTGGCAAGAACTAAAAAATGAATTAAAAGTTACAGTACTTGATTTGTAGTCTTAGCTCTTGCTGACATTTTTGTTTTTTCTCCAATGTATTTACCTTGGTGTGTGGCATCTTCAGAATATTGGAGTGTTCTTTTTACATTATATACACAGATTTATGCAATACAACGTTAAATAAAAAGGTTAAAATACCTGAGTGTCCCCTTGTGGTACAAGTTTTCGATCACAGGCGACAATCAGGTATTTTAACCATTTTATTTAATTGTCAAATAATTGGTCTGGAATCATCACAACAAAAAATTAAATACAACGTTCGTCGAGTTTGTAATACAGCATCTTCGGTAAGGTGCGGAGGGACACTGAGACTCAAAGAACATTGTACCTAATAAATCTTTATATAGTGTTTGTAATGCAAAACAAAAACACTGTACAATCTCCCTAAAGATGCCACACACCGTGGGAAATAGGAAGTAGATTTCTGCATACGCTTACCTGCAATTCTTCTCTTACATGTTGAATAGGCCTAATTTTTGTTTAATCTTGAAGTATTTTATTTATAAAGGTTCAACTAGTAAAAAAATGGGCCTCAACACAGGGTAGTAAGATACAGAGGATACATTCAATGATTCACTTAAGTGGCTTTAAGTGGTCTAGCACCTGTTGTCGCCGGTCTCTAAAGCATATTCTATTTATCGTCCCCTTCTGATCTCCTTTTCCCTCGCGGCATCACGTGCAAAAAATGTGATATGGCCATCGTTATTCGGGCTCCTTCCTTGCTAAAAGTACATTTCTGCTCCACCATGCCAGAGCTAAAGCTCACCATTGTCTCATAAGCTTGTATCCTCTGTATCTTATTTCTCTGTGGCTTCATTGACCGAAAATGAGCTATAAGCCCTACACTGAAAGTAAAGTTATATGATTGTTGTTAATCTGTTCTATAAACTAGATTGTTGTTGGTAATAAAATAATCTATAATAAGTACAGTAGACTCCCTCTTATCCGGACTCCTCGGGACTAAGGCCAGTCCGGAAAACGGGTTTTCCGGTTAAACCGACATCCCAAAAACTCGTTCCAACGGACTGTTTACTGTTAATTTCTACTTAAATTTAGGAGAGCGTTGTATTAAGACACGTGATTACTGGTCTCAAATCTTTCCGACGAGAACAGACGTATCAGTACTGCCCACTTCCTGCCGATCTAGTCCGGTTGAACCAATGTGCTGATAAAAACTGTCCGGTTAAAGAGATGTTATTTCCGCCGAGTGTAGTCCGGTTAAACCGATGTCCGGTTAAAATATGTACGGATAAGAGGGAGTCTACTGTATGCCAAGCCATTACCATTCAATTATAAAAATAAGAAAACTTGGTAAGGAAACCCCTTAACCCTTTGGGTCCCAAGCATTGTGTTAATTTTGTATCAGAGGTGACCCAGACCACTAGTTGTGTTGTCACACCAGATGACCCAGTTACTCTATGCACACTATACCCCAGAATCCCAAGCCATTTTCAGCTGTTTTGTACTATTATCAAATAAATATTCATAACTCACCTTAGAAAGCAGCTAGAGTTATAATTTTTTTTATCTTTTAGCTAATAGAATCTTCTTTAACAATGATAAGTAAAATTTTAAAAATATATGAATAAATATATATATATATACAATTTTATGTATGAACGGCCTAATATTTTCTCTAATTTTCATTTTGTAACCCATAAAAAGAATGTTAACTGTATCTTTTTTCCTATAAGTTTATTATTTTATTAAATAGCACTGAATAAAGAACATATTGTGAAAGTTTTAGCAAAAAATAATAATAAATAAGCATTTTTTTTATAAAAATAAAATACGTTACTTTTTTGCCGAAATCGACATATAATAAAAAAAACTCATAAAGTAATTATAAAACCCAATTTTATTAAATATTTACCACATACTACAGAAATACTTTTACAATAACATTTCTACATGCATTTATAAGCCTGGATCTATTTACAGTAATTAAAAATAAGTATCATGCAAGAAATAAAAAGGTAAAATGAAGTCTCTCACCTATTTTAAACACTGAGAAGCTACTGAGAAGAACAGTGAGAAGAATGTGAAAGCAGTTCATTATATGCACATTTTTCTTATGTTATAATGTTTTCTGTTAATCAATTGAAATAAAACATTTGGAAATAACACATTTAGAGCTAAAACTATTTACATATTTACATTTTTTATGGAACGGCTCATATATTTACATTTGTGTCGAGGAAGACAGTCCACCCATTTCACCAATTTTAGACACTGAGAAGCTACTGAGAAGAATGTGAAAGCAGTTCATTTTATGCACATATCTCTTACAGGTTATAATGTTTTCTGTTAAAAAATTGAAATAAAACGTTTAGCGCTAAAACTATTTACATATTTACATTTTTCTTGAACGGCTCATCTATTTACATTTGTGTCGAGGAAGACAGTCCAAGTGACATCCACGCCTACAATTAACACAAATTGTTTTTGACCTTCTTCTTTTACCCATGGGGTCATTTTTCCCACTGCTCACACAACAATTGCTTTCCTTATTCCCTTCTAGTTTTTCTAATCCAAATTTCCTGTTGGGTGAAAATCCATTGCCGCCCCCTCTATTTTCAGCAACCGGAGCTTTTACTAAAAACCATTCATTTGCCAACTCCTCAATGATGGATACCTGGAAGTGAAGTCTGGAGAGGGGTCTGTCTGTATTCAACTTATACAGGACATATGCATTCAAGACCATTCTACCAAAAATATTAAAAATTACCTTTTTGAAATGCTTCATACACCTACGCTCATCCAGATAGGTGTAGAGCATCTGGTCTGTCCCGTCTATACCTCCCATCCCATGCACTCCCATCCACTTAATTAACAGTTTTCCTCCTCTTTTCACTGTGTAACGCACACTCTTTGCTCGGGCATTGGATGATAGTAAAATGAATTGAGTTTTGTTGGTTGCCTTTTCACGAAAGGCCATGAATAAGAAAGGTCCTTTACGAACGTAAACTCTTTTGCCAACAGGGAACTTGCCTAATAGCTTTTTAGGGATACAAAAATCTAGTTAATTTTTTTGAAGTGAAGAAATTATCAAGGTATAGATGGTATCCTTTGTTTAGGAAATTTCCCATCTCTAACAACTTTTTAACAACCAAGTAGCCCTGCCCTAGACGCTGAATTTCTTCTCTATTGTCTTCATATTTGGCTCCTTTATAACAGTAAAATTTTAAACAGTAGTTGGTCAAAGCATCACAAAGCACCCACAATTTTATCCCCCATCTGTGATGTTTTTTTTTTTTTTTGGAAGATACTGTGTGAGAGCGACTCACTTTTTGGTGCCAACTAGTGACTCGTCCACAGACAACTTTTGGTGAGGTATGTAGTAATGATGGAAAAGGCGGTTCGCATGATCTATCAGAGGTTGAAATTGTCCACAGGGGTTGTAATTTGGGGAATCAAGTGGTGCTAGAGCGGTTGAGTCTGTTAGATGGAAAAATTTCAAAATGGCTTGGAATCAATTTCGCCTAAGTACTTTACCAAACCAATCACATTTTTGAGAGGAAGAAGTGTACCAGTAACTTCGTATTGAGGGTTTTCTAATGATGCCCATGTTGAGTACAATAGCTATGAAAGCTTTCATTTCTCCTAGACTAACCTGGACCCAATCTTTCATGCGGTTTCTTACAGCAGGATTATTTCTGAAAAACTGCCCAGCATATCTGTTTGTTTCAGTTACTAAGGTATTTAGTAGATTTACAGTAAAAAAAAGGTTGAAATACTCAATGGGCTTTGAATTCCTAGGTGGGCAATGTTTAGGACCGGGTAATTCTGAGAATCCAAAGTTGTGGTTGTATTCAGGGTCATCGTCGGAGTCAAGCTCCTCCCATTCGCTGCTTTCTGGGCTTTCCGGTTGTTTTTTTGATTTTGATTTGGGATTTGTAGGCCTATTACATCTAGTTTTATTGTTTTGGTTCTTCTTCTGTCTACCGGTAGGCCTATTGTTTAGGGTCCTCGACACAACATGAGACCTCCCTGTAGAAGTGCTTGGCTCATCAATAGGTAGGCCTACAGGATCATCAGGATCTAGAATATTATCTTCACTGTTTGACGTAGAACAGGTTTGGTTTACACTTACATCACATTCAGTCCTATCCTGCATTAGAGGGCTGTCACTGTCACTACTGGTATCAGACATCAAGTTTCTTCCATTTTGCCTAAAGTTGGATAAAAAACTATATCTGTTAGGGGTAAGTCCATCTTTACCACTAGGGTCGTAGTCGGGATCTTCATCAGTGTCGTCTACGTCCTCACTTGAAGAAGAAGAAATATCTAATAGTGAATCATCACTTTCATTTCCATCAATAAATGTTACACCGGACTCCAGTATATTTGAAATAAGTGTTCGTTCACTTTCAGGGGAATGTTTTCTTTTTGATTTTTTCTCACTCATTTTGATTGGCTGTAAGTTTTAACTAGGCCTGTTTTTATACTAATTTTTAGATACATACAACTTTATATAGGCATATAGGATAATTATAAGTAACTATCTATAAGTATAAAAGAGGATGTTTGTATATATATATATATATTTGTTTGGCAGTGATAAACTCAGACACCGCTGAACCGATTGCCACGAAACTTGGTACATACGTGTAGAATTTCATGGAATAGGTTTATACACCATCAATTTCGTGATCCGTCCAATCGGCTCCGCCCCAGTGGCTCTGGAGTTTCCCATGTTAACCTTATGAGAAATGGAATTAATGAATCTTAACAGCTGTTTCAATTAAACAAGTTGGTTCTGTTCTATGATGTTCAATAGTATTAAAGTTACAAGGATTACCAACAGGGTGCAGCACTATTATTTCTTTTACATTTATGACAACAGCTAAATTGCAACCAAAAGGTGAGTGAGCATAGCGAACGAATTTCAACCTGGAGGCGAGTTAGCGTAGTGAACGAGCTAACCTGAAGGCAAGTGAGCGCAGCGAACGAGCTCCAACCTAAAGGTGAGTGAGCGTAATGAACGAGCTCCAACCTAAAGGTGAGTGAGCGTATCGAACGAACTTCAACCAGGACGTGATTGAGCCATGCGAACGAGATCATCTTGAAAATTAAGAAGTTAAACGGGGCAAAGCCCGCGGGTTACAGCTAGTACTTCATAAAAAGTTCTCTCATGATAAATGAAGGACAGAGATCTCAAGTTAGGCCTAGGCATACCCTAGTTAAACGGTAAGATAGGCAGCCTAATTTAGTTAATTCACACTAAAAACAAGTTCATGCACATGCAAATGGAAAAGTGTTAATCAATGAAAAGTAAGGAATAGAGTATTAGTTTGGAGTAATAAGAGCTTTTAAAAAGAAATAATACAACAGAGGACAGAGAAGTCAGGTTAGTCCTAGATCAAATGTTCAAACAAAGCTTCTAATACTCAAGACATAATCAGTGCAAATTGAAAAACTTTCTGTAAGTACACAATCTATTTTAGCAACAATAGTTTATATAGAAACTCATTTTACTTCATTTCATAATAAAATTCACTAAACAAACTCACGAATAACAACAAACAACATTTAGTACTTCACAGTGAATGTCAACAACGTCGAGTTAATGTTTTGATGCGCAACAGCTGTACAGACAGACCGGTCAACGCCACGCAAATTTTGTCGTTCTTCTTACTCTCAAGCTCTATATAAAGTATGTTTTGAGCGTGTTGTTGAATTTACTTGCTTAGAGAATTTAATTTGCTCTCGTTTGATATATCTTTCGGTGGAATAGCTTTATAAATAATTTTGTAGTAGTAGATTTACGAAAAGCCGATGACATCGGCACTTGGGTTTTTTCGCATACATACATAGTGCCGATGACATCGGCACCCGGGCTTTTTCGATCGTAACGGCAATGCCAATGTGATCGGCACTCGGGTCTTTTCAGATAAAACTGAAGTGCCGATGTGATCGGCACTTGGGACCCAAAGGGTTAAAATGTAGTGTTAGTTTTCTAATGAATAATCACTTAAAATCACTGTAGTTATAGAAGTAGCATTACATAATAAACATTTGCACTCACGTCAGATGACCCCTGACTAGTATTCTGTTTCTTGTGCGTGCCATCTGGGCGTCAAACGGCACCTCGTGGTATTGATTGATGGAATTAGCAGCACAAGAGAGCAGTCCAGTGCCGACGGAACAGAGAGCAAATGTGCTAGGGTCGAAGGGTGCTGGAGCCATAGCATAGCCCGCCATTGATGTTAGTACAACTAGTGCTGCAACACACATGATGAATTATACAATAACTAGGTGAAACTCGTCAAAATCAAGGGTTACTTTCAAGGCTTACACTAATTCATCTAACTGCGATTAATAGCGTGAAATTATACAAATTTTGAGCATTTAGCATTGTTTAATGAGTAATAAGTGTAAACACAATAATGACTATTGGCACTATTGAGTTAGTTACAAAACATGGTTGCTCATTCAATGAATGAAATATTTGCCATATTGTGCGTCATCGGAGTTATTATTACTACGTTAACTGGTTTCTCTTCTTTTGGAAACCGTATCGTATTAAAATCGTTTTAAGGATCTTTTGTGGTAAACATTTCTGCTATTTCATCAGTGTAGTGCAGATTAAATCTATGCTTTTATTTGAGGAAAAATATCTGTTTGTTGAGAAGGCAAGTTTAAGTTCTGACTTCAAAGAAAGGTTCACCCTTAAGCTGTGTAAGTTTTATTTTTCCTTCATCATGTCGTTTATCATACTGCACTTCTGTGCCAATGAATAACCATCTAACATATTTTTGAAAAATTGGTTGTGGGGATACAAAAAAAAAATTGGAATTCCTTGACATGCGGAATGTGGATGTCAGTTGTCTCAGCATTATCAATTACATAAGGTTGTCAATATAATCTATCTTCGTAATGTAAGGTGTAGTGGAAAACACTTGTAGTGAAACTGGCTTTTATTCTTGAACTGTTAAGGGTCTCGTTCTCGTTCATATGGTCGTGCGGCTTCATTGGCAACAAATAATGTAAGCTGCATTTATAAAAATCTAATCCTGTAAATTAGCTGTTATGTAAATAGTGACGTTTACATGCTTTGTTGTTAATCAACGTATCTTATAAAGGATGATGAAATCTATTTTAAAAGGAACATTACCTTTCTGTCATGCATGACAGTAGCTGCTTAAATGGTAATTACTCTTTGTGTTATTTTTTTACAGTCAAAGTGTTATGTTACTTTTAAAAGTCTCACAAGCAAGTGGACCACGGTCTGTAATAGGCCACTGCAAATCATCTATCAAGATAAGTACTATTTGAGGCTAGGTTTCTGTGTTTGGATGTTATTAGACATGATAAGATCACAATGAACTTCTTCTCCAGATGAATATTCTGTTGGTTAAGAAAAATATAAACCGAATTATAAATGTCACAATCCAAGCACATTAAAATGGCTGTGGCCTTTCGTAGTATCACTTTTAAGCATTTTTTATGTAGCTATCAGGGTAAGCTACATATATATATTTTTTTTTTGCTGCTGCTGCTCGTTGCACTTTGAGAATATTTTTTAGAGGTAAACTAGTTGTTTCCAGTTAATAATCTTACTAATAGGCTGAAAGTTTGTGTGTTTGTTTGAAGTTCAATCACGCATAAACCACTGGACGGATTGGGCTGAAATTTAGCATGATGATACCTCGCATTCCTGATTAACATATAGGCATATTCTTATCTCAAAAATCCTTTCGGGATCCGCCCCAGTGGCTCTGTAGTTCCCCATGTTAACCTTATGAGTATTCATATTTAAAGGGAATTAAAGAATTTAGTCAGCTGTTTCGACTAAAAAAGTTGGTTCTATGATATACAAAAGCATTTAGGCTAAGATTTACCAACAGGGTGTAGCACTACAATTTTTTGCATTTGTGTAAACAGCTAATTTGATCCAAGCAGCAACAAAAAACTGTGATACGCAATGAGAACTGTCAAAGTAGGATTGTTTACAGTTATTTTATGTTTTTAATGTCATGAATAATTTTTGATTTTTTGTGAATTCGTTATAATTTATTTTTCTTTATTGTTTAGGTGAAGTGGTAGAACATTATGGCTATGGTAGATGTGTAATACCATTAGTATATACAGTAGACTCTCGCTCATCCAGATTACAAAAAATCCGGACTATCGAGAGTCGAGCAAATACACAATACTGTACTGTATATAGCCGTTTTTTCAATTTAGTTCCAGGTCCACAGTAATGATATCCGGGCATATGCACTTCCACCGGTAATAATCTTTACGGCTGAATTTTGTTCCAGGTCCACAGTAATGATAGCCCGGGCGTATGCACTTCCACCGGTAATAATTGTTTCGGCCGAATTTTGTTCCAGGTCTACAGTAATGATAGCCCGGGCATATGCACTTCCACCGGTATAATTTTTTCGTCCGAGTTTTGTTCCAGGTCTACAGTAATGATAGCCCGGGCATATGCACTTCCACGAGTAATAATTTTTACTGCTGTGTTATCCGATTTTTTTCATTATTCAAGGTAGTCTCGGTCCCGTTTCGCTTGGATAATCGGACTTCTACTGTACTGTGCCGCTAAAAAAAAATCACGATTGCCGATCCGGACTACCGGGAGTCCGGACAAGGCCGATCCGGATGAGCGAGAGTCTACTGTACCGTCAATTTAAAGAAGCAAATTTTATCAAACTGTGTCCTCTACCATTGCAAACGCAAAGCTTGAGTATAACCGCTATAAGCATTTTAAACTTATATATGCCAACCCCGTACGAAGGACGGGTACTCTGCTAGTATTAACTATATTTCAATATCATTGATTAAACTAATTTAAATAATCTTTTAACATTTAACTTATCACAAAAAAAATAAATAAAAACTTTGAAGAGCTAAACTTTTGATTACAATAAATAAAAATGTTAAGCTCGATACTGTTTTAATAAAGGTTCTAACAGAGTAGGCTTACAGAATACTGACTGACAGACCAGTTAAAATTGTCATCTTACTTTTAAATGTTAAATGAGAAACTCTTCCCATACTATGTTTTTTGTTAACACTCTAACATCTTTAGCCAGATGACTTTGGTTTCGTCGTTCTTTAACCAGTTAACCAGCAGGGCTCTGGGATATAAAGACCAACTTTTTCAAGTGTCTGTCCTCGGCAAAAGCGATTCAACATGGGAACTGTCAAGTTTGAATTTTAGGGGAAAATTTCCTTCTGATGGTTCTAAACTTAAATGGGGCAGTAACACTCATTTTCCAGCCGAACTTCCAGTAATAATTTCAAGATTTAGGACTTTTTTTATTTATCTCTTTACCATTAATCTGGTTCCATTAACCAGTCCTTTTTGTGGATTTAAATTCCTTAGTAAAATTACAATTACACCTTTTTAAAGGCATAATTTGTGAGGAGGTAAACCACTTGGTACTAATGTGTGAATAAATTGATATGGTACGGTAAGTGTAACTGGTCTCCCTCTTCTTGAATCAGAGTGTCCACTGAGTAGTAAACTCGACTGTCATAATTTAGTTGGTCAACTATTTTATTATTTATTTCGTCACAATGTTCATTCTTTGGTGAAAGTATCACATGATTTTTTTTTTCAAGCATCTGCAGAGAATCCTTCACTGAAGATTTTGTCAATGATATTTTCATTCACAATATAATTGTGGTGGAAGCCGTATCAATGAATCACCAAGATCATTATGATAGCTCTCATGGCCATTTCCTATTCGTAAAAGATATTCAGCAAATATTGATTCGCTTGGATTAGCTCTCATGTTTTTAGCAAGTGATTTTTTTTTACATTGGCCATAAAGGTGATCCATACATTTAATCAGTCATCATTGTATATGAAAGTAAATTGACAAATAAACAGAAAAGGTAAATATTAAAATGACATAATAGGAGCAAACTGCACATATCCAACTTCCGTGGGATTTTTTGTGAAGGGAAGTTGTGACTATATGGAATCTCTTTATTATATGTCACATAATGGTGTAGTACCGGGTGTTTACCTACAAATTGTGCTGTTTGGTTTTTATGACGTCGTGAATCCAAGATGGCCGCCATGTGTGACATCTATTAATTAAATTAATAATAACTCTTTCCAGAGTGAAATAATCAGATTTTAATTTACACTATTGAATTCAGCTCAAAAAAGCAAACAATTTGGTATCTTGAGTCATTTCTCTATGTCCATTGGTTACCGAGATATTGCACGCAGTAAACACAGAACATTGTCCCCATGTTATCCTTATGGGGAAAAAATAAAATTGTACATCTCGCTTATTTCTTAGCCCATCTGAATAAAAAATGGTATGTGGATTCATATAGTAGAGATCACTCTGAATATGGCCTAAAATCCCCCATTTTGACATTTCCGTGGCAGCAAACCGGCATAGTCACTTCCCATGTTATTCTTATGGTCAATATTTTTACATGCTTGTTTATGAACATACGTTGAGTAATGTTAGTGTGTGGCTCCATTTTAATTATTTATTGAAGCATTTGCAATTCCCAGAGTAAACAGGTTTGCTGATACAGGGGTATTTTAGCTATAAACAAATCTCACAAATTACAGGTAGAAAATAAAATAGACTATAGCCTAGTTGTGTGTCATATGTAATTTCATGGGATTTTGAATTAAGCAATTAGCAATTGTATGATTGGTGGCGATAGATAGGTAATGACATGTAGGATCGTGTGCTACCGAGTATTTTTTTCTGAAAGTGTGGCCAAGCCGTTGTTTTCGGCCGCCATCTTAGATCCGCCATATTGGATATTAATAAAATTATTTAATGCCATGTTAGTGTTGTGGCACATCATTATGAACTAGATTTTCACCCTTATTTCAATGCTGAAAACAGTTTATAAATATAGTTTTTCGTTTGGAAGATATGTTCAAATGAAAATTCTCCCCCATACATTTCTTACAGACGTTTCTTACTTTGAACAGTTTAAAGATTATTTTTCTTATATCTCCAGTTCTTATTAACGCTTGCAGTTCGGTCTAGTCTAAAAATATTCAGTGATGTATGAGCTTTCATTTGAGCTATTGATTATCAAATTCGGACGAGTTAGAGTCGAGCTACGAACCCTAACACAATATTAAATTTAACTTATTGTTATTACAAATCAGTTGTTATTAAAAGGTTTATATCTCGAGTTGTTAATACGTCACTAAGTTCTTTCTGAACTCAAATTACTCGGTAAATGTTTGGTTTTAGATTTTATTAATTACTAAATGAAATCT